GGAGGGGGAGGGGGGGAATGAGAGGTGTAGGATAAATGCCTTTAGCCCTTTCACTCCCAGAATCTGGTTGTTAATTCTCCCCTCCTAGCTGCTACACATTTCCTCGTAAATTAGTGGAAGGAGTTTGGTGTTACATCAAGATACCAACTTCTACCTGATAAGTTGGAGTATTCTCATTACCTGTTTACTCGATAATGTAGGAATATTATAGGGAGAAGTTATATGTTAATCACTTGTAGGAATTAAAGGGTTGAGGAATTTTTAGGATACAGCAATTTTGAATTGATCTTCAAAAGAAATCTGACATTGCACTGGTTTTGCTTTACTTAGACCTGTGTTTGGTCCAGAAAACTCGCGCCTCTCTCTAAAACAATCGGATGAAAAACTAACAAAAAATTATCATTAATTCAAGGCATGTATGACAACATGTCAAATGGAATTTTTCTGAACTAAGCATCCTGATAAATGATATCACTCATTCCCAAATCACTATATAGACTTAATATTAGCATTTAAGTCAATAAATATTCTCGTCTATTGCATGCACTACAAATTATTTATACTAAACAATGTGCTAGTCTTAAAAAAAATAACACAAAAATACACCTTGAAAAGAAATTATTCCAGCACCGACTTGAAAAGCCCACGTCGCGTGTACATGCGCATTACTTTGCTACTCATCACGTGAACAAGCAAACGTGCCTTTGGCCAAACTGACCACTCTCGATACCACGTGACAACTTAAGAGTTACACTTATCACTTCTCGTAAACTCTAAGAATCAAAATTTTGACGAAAAGGTTTCCGCGTTTCGCCACGGTCAGTGGGAGGGAGGGGAGGGGAGGGGAGGGGAAGGTGAGGTGAGAAACGACTATCGCGAACATTTTCAAAGAATTAATAAATTAATTACTCGCGCTCGCATGAATAAATATCTACATAAATTAGAAAAATTCCGCAGAAAAGGGTAAACCTCTCTTCCGCAATTTCAAATTAATAAATTATTCGAGTAAGAGTAATTATATTTGGCAAAGGCTCTACTAAATTGGTCAAGGAGGTAATTAATGATCTCACTCCCTTTCCACCAGTAACGCTCTGGATCTCTTGGTCAATCTTTTGAACACCGTCGGGAAATTGGAAACCAGAACCCTGCTATTCCATATTCCCCATAATGAAATTGTTACATTTGACTATGCGTGTTATCTTTGGATCTGCAATCGAGGGAAAAGCTTCCTTATTAATGATTTACGATAATCGGACATGGAAGGAAAAAAATGATGATTATCTGTCATAAAGGAAACTGAAATTTTTCTGACACCTTACGTCAACGCTTGCATTAGATAGAGAAATGGACAAACAGACAATATGACGGACAGACTGTCACAGTGGTAAACACGTACGCAATCAAAGACCTTCGCTCTAACGAAAGGATAACGATCAAAACATCAACTTTAGAAACTATTTACGGCGGCCGATTTCATCATCCACTCGGTTCATAAAACCGTCACGTGGGCTGGAAAAAGGAGAGCCTAGTAAGCACGCGAGAGGGCAAATAGAGACACAGACAAACGGAGAAACATATATACAGACAGACTAACAAAAATCGACGAAAAGTCCAATTGACAAACACACTGACAGACCGACGACGACGAAGACACAGAGTGAAGCTGAACAGACAGACATAATGATAGAAAAACAGCCAGACGGAACGAACGACGGAGGCATAGACAGACCAACTGATAAACAGACAGACAACAAGAGAGACAGACCAACAACTGTCAGATACATTGACAGACTGACTGACAGACAAATAGACAGACTAACTGATAAACAGACAGACAACAAGAGAGACAGACCAACAACTGTCAGATACATTGACAGACTGACTGACAGACAAATAGACAGACAAACTGATAAACAGACAGACAACAAGAGAGACAGACCAACAACTGTCAGATACATTGACAGACTGACTGACAGACAAATAGACAGACCAACTGATAAACAGACAGACAGACGAAGGGATGAACACGAAGACTAAAGGTAAACAGATTGAGAGATGGAAGAACGAACGAGCAAACAAAAAGACGTCGAAACAAAGACAACTAACGAAAGTCAAACGTCGAAAGACCAACGAATCAAAAGAGCATCATTACCTTTTGGATGCTTTTTGCATGTAGCGTGCCTCCTGCCGTTTGTTTATTCTCTCTTCCCGCCGCCTCTGTGAAGAGCGCCTTCTTTCCCGATAACTTCTGAAACTATTCTGAATAATGGCGGCTGCCCGTCGACTCTTCTTGAATCGTTCGTGTTCACGGTATGTGCGGTACTGGTTCTGAATTATCCGAGCTGCGCGGGTCATTTTCTTGAAAGCGATGAACTGAGTCGCAAAAGGATAAAACAGTGCTGTCAGTTGGAAACTGTGCACCAAGGTCACGGCGTCAATGTGGTCAATTCTTACATCGTACTTACTAAGGAAGGCTTCAACGATTTACCGAGCAAGATACCTCACAAGTTGCCTTGCACACTGGCGAAGCACCAGAGGAGCCTCATTTCAATCTAATGAGGGGGAAACTGGTATTTGGGTTTTTTTCCTGACTCTACAAACATCACCAAAACTTAGTTGCTCTATTTTTTTTTTTTTTTTTTTTTTTGCGCTTGCCCCCCAGTCTCATGCTTTGCCGCGCTTTTTCTCGGGTTTGTAATGGGTTTTACGTTTCCCCGCGCGTCAGGCCGGTAAGTTTCACTGTTTTCCCGCTCTTGATACCAGTTATGTTAACAGCCTTCAACTAATCTCCGTTCGCTACAATGGACACGATAAGAAAACATTGCAGCTCATACGCTGAAGCCATACGCTACGATGAGGCGGCGCTAGGCGAGATTCTACAAACACTAACTAGCTTACCTCTTTATATCTACGATAATGGTGCTGAATCAATATGGCGGCCTCTATTTCCTGCTCCTGTTGGTGACGCCTCGTCTAGAAAAAGTCGAAAAATGAATAACGTCGAAAATCGTGACAAAATTACTTCAACTAAACCAATAGGAATTGATTCTTTAGCACACATGTTCTTTTCTTGATTTGATTCGATCACGCAAGGGAGAGATATTTTAGGTGGTGAATCAATCACAATCCAAAGGAAAGAGATTTGACCCTCTGGCGGATAGGCAGGGCTATCAGGTGAATGTGGAAAGACGAGAAAACTAAGCCAACCTTGTAATTTCTGTAGGCGTTCTGGATGATCTTGGCCGCTTCGTAGAGTTCCCACTGTTCACGATCTGCCAATTAAATTCACATTGTGAAATTACTTCATTGACAAAGGTAAAAGAATGACATGATTTTATCATTAAGAGACTTGCTTAATCATCTCGTGGTCTAGAATTGGGCATAAACGAATGAAATAAACCATAGTTTTTTTTTTCAAGTACAACAACTTCCTCTAATTTGTGCTAGGATGGGTATCATCATTTGACGTCATTTTGCTTTTTTTTGACGAGTCAAATCTCACCTGTTAACGTGAGATCCGAAAAATCTCTTTCCAACAGTTTACGAGAACTTGAGATAAACTCCTGGAATTCAGTCGTGTCTGGTCCAGAAGGAGAAGAATGGGGTGAGTTAAGAAATACGGGAGAACCTGGGGAGAGGGACGACTTGGAGGAGCACGGCGTCAAAGGGGAAGATTGGGACGAGGCCGAGCTGAACGTGCGCAACCTCGCTGCTGCGCCCCAAGACCCGGATGTAATGAGTTCGGAGTTCTCGTGTAATGGAGATAAATGAGCAGATATTCGGTGATTTAGCTCCGCCTCATGTTCTGCCTCGTTTATCATCGAATGTATATGCACCAAGGTTTTTGCCAGGGTTCGAGCCCGTTTTCTATTTAATTGAGGCTCTACTTCTTCGTTTTCATCGACAACCATTGGCGAATTTGCTCGGTCAACCATGTCTGCATCCACAGGGATTGGTAACAAGGAGGAAGAATTAGGGGCCGAGACAGGAGTTCGTGGGGAGTCCTCACACGATGAACCCATGGGTGATGGAGTCCCGTCAGAATCCACACCGAGAACTGAACCACTGTAACGGAATGGTGGAAAATACAAAAGTGAGAGAAATTCACAGCTGTAAATCAAAAGATTTCATGTAAGAGTAGGGTCTACAAAGCTTTTGGGACCGACCTGACAGTAATTCATTTTGGTGTTGTTCCTGTGAAAAAGGAACTGCCTTGCGATAAAAATAAAGAGAGATCGCGAAACAAAAAATTACTTAGAACTAAAAGAAACCCGAGAATATAGAATAGACCGAAAAGGAACAAAGATTGTGAGGGATAACGAATATCGAATGAAAAGACTGTAAGTCTGCGTGAAAAGAAATATATATATAAAAAAAACACTAAAAAAGGCGAAACAAACGAAATGAAAAGCGCAACCTTTTGTGATACACGAAAGACCAGCGCCCTTTACCATCTTTTAGCAGAAGACAAAATGTTACAGCCACCAAACTCACTTGAATGGAGAGGACATCACATAATCTTCAACTAGATCCACCACGTCTAAGAAGCCTCTATCCCTGGCTAGCTGCAGAGGCATACGTCCTCGCGCATCGGGCTCTAATAGAGCTTTAGGTTCGGTCTCCAACAGCAGGTGGGCAGTGTCGGTCCGACCAAGAGCGCATGCCCACGTCAGCGGAGTGCAGGCAAATTCGTCCTTCCTAAGCGGATTCATTTCCTCTCTGACAAGTTGGCTTTCGCTAACATGCCATAACTTCAACAGCGTGCATATCAGCCGGTTAAAACCCAGCGCAGCGGATAAATGTAGCAAAGTCATTCCTCTGAATGGTTTCTCCCCCTTTGTGGGGGCGTTCATGGGGGCGTTTATAGCAGAGCTTGTGGGTCGGTGGAAGATTTCACAAGCGACGATGAGTCGATCTTCAAAAGTCGTGCACTGTTTTCCGTGTTGTGTACCATTTGCGGAATTGCTCGTCTGGTTCGAGTGGAGTCTGGACTCTAATCTCTCTAAACGATCGAGTATCGCCAGCTTAAACCGGTCATCATCAGTGGCGAGCCACTCGTGACAGCTGGCTCCTACCACGGGTGAATCACGTGCGCGGTACTCAAACACACATGCGTTGCTGACGATAAAACCATTGCATGCGACTTGCAAGGTAACCAGGCCCGGGTCGTGAGGAGGACAGAAGCAACGCAAAACGCCAGACTGGTACAAAATCGCGGGCACGCTACAACCATCAAACAAGCACGTGTATGAACCTTGTTCCATCCTCCACTCGCCAGTGATGAGCACTTTAGCCCCACCCTCAGGGTAAGACCATTCGGGGGAAAAATCGGTGATACGCGCGGAGATTGGAACGACCTGATTCCCAACATGCGTTGGGAAATTGTCGGCTGATGTGCCGACAGTGAGTGTGCGCGAGGAATTGTTATTTACGTCACTTGTTGTTGGTGTGGTAGTTTGCTGGGCCAAACCATGAAGAGGAGGAGGATTAAGACAAACTTCATTTACCGTTCGTTGAGCAACAGTATGAGTAATAGAATCATTTCCCATGTTTACTTCACAACCAACTTGAATGCCTCTGTGAGAAGTCTGGGTGCTAGCTTCGCTTACAGCTGTCCCGGATGATGATTCCAGCGTGTTTTTATTGACCTCGACGAAACATGACGTCACCACTGCGGATCGCGCTGGGCTGACAGGCTTCACAAATACGTAAGACGTCGTAGATGACGGACCGGAAGTTGTCATCTGAGAGAAAGACGAGGTTTGATCTTGGCTGGCGGAAGTGTATGGACGGGAAGAGAGTTGCGAGGTAGTACAGGTACTGGAGGCATAACACGACTTCTGGCTCTCAATGGAGGCTGTCACACCATTGCTACTTTGCCTGGGCGACGACGCGCTTAAGCAGTCCGTAAAGCAATCTGGAATCACATTGCTAAGGTCACAGTCGAACATGTCGAACGCAAGTGATTCCAAGGGCGACAAATCAGTCATGTCAACGGATACCTCATTTTCACCTGATTGTGACCTTCCCGAAAACGGTCCCTGGTCCTGTGCGGATTCCCCTACGTCACCTTTTGCTGAATCGGTAAAATGTTGTCGGGACTCTCGTTCCACGGGAAGAGGAACACGAAAAGGGCCGTCAAACAGCGCATGCTCCGAATCTTGGAGATTTTGCGCAGGAAGACCAGCGCTCATGGAATCTGACCCTGAGAAACTGAGCTGGGCGCCTGCATCAGACATATAGCTGCCATAGTCACTAGAAGGACTAGAACCTAACTCTGCCACGCGAGGATTTAAAATGATCGAATTCCACTGAATGCCAGCGTTGTGATTCGTCTCTGCCGCGAACTGACTAATAGGGATCGCATTTGACATGTGATTTTCTGGAAGAAATTGGCAGTTTGATGTGGTGGGAACATTCGATGCACTACATCCTTTGTCTCCGAGAGAGTTTTGTACCTGGTACGATAATGTGGACACCGAAGGATGCGTAACCATGGGCACTACCGAAAGTATAGATATGTCTCTAAGAGGCTGGTGCTGTGAAAAGCTTGGTGGACTGGTGACGAACACGTGACCGTTACTAGGGGTGACGGCTGCCTGGCACATAACGTCATCAACTGTGCCCGAATCATTCCCTTCGTAAGACAAATTCTCTTCCAAAGATGGCGAACCTTCTCTGTGTCCTGTCACGGTCAAACGACCTTGGTTATTCTTAGTAACTTTGATCACTTTTATGTTCAGTTTTTCAGCCCGAACTTTGGCCTGAAAACTCTTGTTTGGAGAAAAAGAGATTTTGTAAACCACCTTGTTTCTTTTCCGCTGTCGTTTTCCTTTAGAAGACGAGTTCTCGCCTTCTTCTGAAGATGAGGGTGATCCGGGGGGGCTTTCCTCTGTTACCTTGAATCCAAATTTAAAACACAAAATTTTAGAAGATTTTGAATGATAACTGATTCAAATCCTTAGAGAGTACACCAGTAGAAAATAAAAAGTCAACAATAATAACAATAACATTTATTATTTGTATTGCGCCTTTTCTATAAAATATTCAAAAGCGCATCACAACAGTAATTAATAACAAAAACTCTACAATTCTTTCTATAAAAATCATAAATTATATATATTTATTTACATTGAACTAATGAAAGATAATTACAAATAAAAATATAGATGTACTAAGATAACTGAAATGATTCCTTGAATAAAAATGTCTTAAG